TATGGAGGCTTTAACATACAGGCAGTAATTTAACATACTGTAGCTGCTGAGCAGGAGCTAATTTTAATTGCTCTATATTCTGTTTAAAGCATCTGCTGTCCACCCACACAAGCTCCTCCACTTCGGCCTGAATAAACCTGGGCTGTGGGGGAGTCAGCTGACATCTCCCTCGCTCTCCTGTTAGCTTTTATTTGATTAACACAACTTAACTCATTATTGTACACAAATTACAACAATTTATCACCCTACACTGTTCCATTGACAGTTACAATTTGAGATGACAAAGAAGATCATCTTTGAAAAATTAACATTCATATAAAAACAAGTGATACTTTTTAAAGAGGGATAAATAATCACCCACAATAACAAAATTAATTCCCCTGCCAAGGATGTTTTAGTATGCTTTTTTGCCCCGGTGTATTTGTTTATTTGTTAGCATAATTACGCAAAAGAAAAATTACTAAATGTATTTACACAAAATTTGGTGAAAGGTTAAGACATTTTAAGACTCTCTACTTAGTAAAGTTGTCACAAAAAATAAATGCTGAGGAGTCACAGGAGGTAAACAACAACATATCCCTATGAAATGCAAAGTAATGTCACTATAAAGATAATTAGCCCTTTTCCAACGTGGATCATTATGTCCATCAGTAAAAATTACACATAACTAATATTAATGTTTTTTTTATCACTGAGCTGAGGTAAGGTCATGTGTATTCTTCATTGCATCTTTATTTTGTGTTACTGCATGTTCAGTTGTGTAGCTATTGATAAGAGCCACCATGAATCAGGTGTGGATCCTGCAGGAAGTGGGTGTCCTCATGTCAGAGGACTGGTGCAGGTTTTCTGTGTTGTGAGTTTGTTTTCCAGACTCACTGGAGAGATCCACACCCTTTGCTCCTGTTGCACGAGTCTTCTTGTACTACAGATGATGTCATCCTTGACCGGGGAGAGGAGGAGGGACCCGGGAGCCTGCAGCAGCTCCGTCAAGTTACAAACAGGTTGCCATAACAACACCGGAAACACAGGCCCTGGCCTTCAAAATAAAAGTAACTTAGAGACACAAGCGATGAATGTCTGGATATAAGTGGAATCATCATAATTTTTGTGAAAACATATCAGGCCTCCTCAAAAAGCAAATCAATGTTGTGTCACTAAAACAAATCCTTCTTTTCATGAGTTTTGTTGAAATGAAGCAACGATATAGAGTTTCGCTGTCAAGGCAATAAGTGAAAATATAAAAAGAAATGTATGGTTTGCTACTTTCTCTAGATTGTTTCTCTTCCTATGTCTCACCATTCCACCAAGTTTCCACAAAATCAGTTGGGTAGTTTTGGAGTAATCCCCTTAACCAACCAAAGAACCAACCAACCAGTCAGCCAGTCAGCCAACCAACCAGCCAACACAAGGCCAGGAGTGAGAAAATCCCCTCCTTGTGCATTTATCTGACATTCTTGAAGAGAATCATTAAAATTAGCTCCCAACTGGGCAAATTCATGTAAAGGCCAACTCACGTCAGAACAAGACAGAAAGTCAGCACAAACGTTGGTACATAAGTTGCTCATTTCATTGTGTAAAAAGTAATTAACATAATTCTCAAATAGCAGCTTCTAAAGTTCTTTTGTCACTTGCAAACCTCCTCACATAAAAACCTACTGCAGCACAACTTTCAGCCAACACGTACGTTTTTAATATAAACGTGCATCTGTTTAAAATGACCTATTTGCCTGTTTCACTCTATCATATTTCTTCGCTCTCCATTATTACGCAAATATTGAAAGCGTTGTGTTATTTCAACTCTCCTATCACATTAACTCACAGTTTCTCCTCTTTTATTCTGAAGGTATCGAACAGAAGCAGCAGTGTGTGAGTGAGATCTTGATCCTCTCTGGTGTCAGTGGGAGGATCCTGCTGCTCTGCCCCTGTTTCCACCAGCCTCTCTGTGAAATTAGCGAATACTGCAGCAAGGAGTGAGTGAGTGAGTGTGTGCACTGTGCATGTGTGTGTGGCACAACCAAGAAGAAAGAGCGAGCTGGGGCTGATATTAATATAAAAACACCTCATCTGGCTGCTGACAGGTAAATATCACACACACACACACACACACACACACACACACACACACACAGTGCTGCAGTTGGGCTCTGATCTGAGACTAATTGCAGATCACTTACTTGGCTCTCAGAGAATAAGGTGGTGGCTTCTCCTCGTTTGTTTTCCTCTGATAGTTTCACCTCTGATAGTGATGAAGTGCAGACCAGTGTGTTTGCAGTTGTCAGGACGTGTTTGTGTTCAACAGTTGATTTCTTCAGAGCAGCAGATCAGATCCTGTTGGTGTGAACAGTCTGTGCAACTGCTGCGACCTCAATAAGCAACTCCTCATGGCAAATCTCTTAATGAGCCACTTCTATTCCTGGGAACTCTTCATTTCCTCGCTAGTAACGCTCCTGCCTCTCTGTGCTAATGCAAACAGTAAAACAGTTAGAGTTTGAGTTATCTAGGAGGAAGTTGGGTCAAGACATATGTGGCCTGAAATACTAATCCTGGGCTTTTAGTGTGATTTAAACAGGAAGGTGTCATTCTTAAGATTAACAGGAAATGATTATATGTTGTGTTGTTGTTCAGATCGATTGGAAAATCAAAATAGATTTGGCAACAATTCAAAACATATTTTTGATACAGCAAGAGTAGTAGGAAGAAGTGCACAAAATGATTGACAGTTTTATTCATAGGTTAAGTTGATGTCAAAATTGGAAAATTGTGCCGGACATTATCAGTTACTTTCGGACACTTTAAAGAGTTAAATAATCATCCAAATGTACAAAACAGAATTAATTTTAGTTACTTAAAACATGATTAAAATACATCTGATCAGGATGTAATAGTTAACAGTTAATCTTTTAATTCATCTTGAAATTAAAAAGTCCAAAACATGAGTGAAATTCTCCTCACAGTCTCCCAGAGGTGAGATTGCTGTCTTTAGATTTTCTCCTGCTGCTGAGACAAAAACATCCAGTAACTAATGGTGATTATCACTGTTTTCTGACATTACAGACCAGTGACAAAAGACTCAGAAGGTGTCACAAAGCCATTCTGTCACAAAGCATCCCCTGTCTTTAAGTTTGAATGCAGTCATCATGCTCCAACTGCTACCGGCTTACTCACGGAGACAGTTGGTTTATAAGCATAAAGTAAGCAGGAAGCTTGTTTATTTCCTCCAGCAGTGTCAAAATGAAAAGTAGTGGTTTCATGTAAAGTTGTGTGTCAGACGACTCCTGGGAGCAGTGACTTCCTGGAGTCTTGTCATGATTGCGAGGTAAACTGGAAACTTCTAAACGCATCAATCCATAGAATTGAGAATGGTATCAATCTTCTCACCCAACATCGAAATACCTTTTATATAACAATCTCTAATGTTATTTTCATATTCTGTGAAAATGTGATGTACTTATTACAAACATCATACCTGCTTTGATTGCATGGGCTGGTTCGTTGTTGGGACATTGGATCTTTTTTTTTTTTTGGGTGTACCAGTAAAGCCATGACTCAGTGAGTCTGAGGAGCTGCTGTGTTTGTAACAACCGCCCTAAGAATGTGAGGAGCTGACCTGATCTGCTGTGTGTTTCACTGCTGTTGTGTAAGAGAGCTCAGCACTAGTGTTTCAATTTAATGCTCTCGAGTCCACAGCGTCTTACTTGTACCCAGGAGCCTCCACATGCCAGTCATTAATGCTCGACGTGCTCTTATAAGATTAGTTTTTTTGGAGCGGTGGCCAACTGTGTGACGTTGCACCTTGCTCCTGTCGCATTTAGTCCGATAAGATGTTTTTACATTGGGATTAAGGTGGTGGAGCAGCCAGTGTCACAGGCTGTCTGCTCTGTCTCAATCACACACATGCACACACACACTCACACTCACACACATGGCCTCTGCCAGTTTATGAACCTTGGCCCATTTCTCAGAGTCACACAGATAATTATAATGACAGTAACAATAGCAACTTAATTTATATGGCACAATTCATAACAGCCGTAACAAAGTGCTTCCCAAAGACGAGAAACAAATGAATACATTGTCATTTAAAGAGCAAATTATATTATACTAGATCACAATCTGAAAATCATAAAATAAACATAATAGCAAAAACCAACCATGTAAAATTAATTTGGTAAAACTAAGTTTTGAGAGATATTTGAAAACAGACAGTGATGTTTCAAGTTCCTTAAGGGAACTATTCCACAGCCCTGACAGCAACTTATCTTATCGCACCTTATCAGAAGATCTCAGGCTGGTATATTAAGAAACTGGACCCACTAAATGTTCCCTAGATTATTATCAGTAATCATCACAGTTTAGATTATCGACAAATATTATATCACAATGAAGATTTTTACATCAGCTGATATAATTATTACAGTATTTATTTTATAGTATTATTACATTTGATTATTTTAAAGTTTTTTTTAATTATTATTATCATTATAATTATTAAACGTCACATTATCTCTTTGATTTTTTTGCTTCTGAGTAAAGGTTGTGCTTTTAAGCTCTTCTTTATGGGCAGAGAACAACAAAATTGAAAACACTTTATAAATCTGATGTGGATCCTCACTTACACAATGCATGAGTAATACATCGGGCAAAAATACTAAATATCTTCTGGTTCCAGCTTCAAAATCATAAACATTGGCTGTTTTTTATCCCTGCTGTGACAGTAAAGTGAAAATCTCTGGGTTTTGTCCTAAAAAAAAAACAAGCTTTTAAACTTGTGTTCTGGGAAGTGGTGGTGTTTATATCTGCATGTGATCTGTTTTCTCACACTTGGGTTAAGGTGATGTTGGCAGCATGAACTTTGGATCATTTCTCAGACAGAAAACAACAACAACAACAACAGAGCCTGTTACCTTGTGTTTATCCAGAGAAAAGAATTGGGGGGAAAACATCAACCTTATTAGAAATGAGTTGTGGTTGAGGTGCCCACGAAGCCATAGGGCATTTTGCATCCAGTAAAAATCATGTCTCTGCAGAATATTAAAGTAATTTTTATCCTGCTGTAAAACTTAGTGTGGTTCCATCGAGATGCATGCTAGACTGGTAATTGCTCTGCAAATATTTCTCTGCACAAACTGAAAAAGTGAAAATCCAGCCTTGTTTTTTTTGCTCTAAAAGTCTAACCTGCAGCCAGAGTTTAACTGAAAAGGTTGTTTAAAGCTCCTGTGTATAGTTGTGTGTTTTAGTGTACTCCAGTGCAGAATGTCAGGGAAAGAGGCGCAGCCCTGTGAAGCCTGTTAGACGAGCAAAACAATCCTGCTTAAGCTTGATTCCCATCAAGCTTAGTACCAGAACAAGAAATACATTATCATTATCATGTCAGACACCACATGCCTTCTGTTGGCTGGACGTTTGATGCTCGTCCAGCGATGTTGTCGATATTAAATTCGTGCGAAGATTGAAAGGGAGCTGCACCTCACTGGTTCGGGTCACGCTCCGCCCGCCGCTAACTCCGCTCAGCTCGTTGCATAACTCCTGTTGGCCCCTAAGCCTCAGGAAACCTCCGAAAAAAAGAAAGAGAGGTGGCATGTTCATGAACCCGGGGCATTGCTCAAATAGTTGTAGGATGTAATGGTGCTTTGCTTTATTGTGTATTTTAATGGTCCCTTGTATTGTGTTTGGATCAAGTTTTAATGTGTGTTTTCCAGTGTCAGAGCGAGTTCTCTTTACAAACTCACATTTACTGCTGAGGCTTCCTCAGCTTCTCCATCTGTCAACCTTTAATTCTGACTCTTATTTTCAGTATGACTTTATCTCCATTACTCACTGATTAACTTAAGCTTCATCTGGGTTTGATAGTTAGCAGCATTACACAAAAACTACTGAACGGATTACCACGAAACTTGGTGAAAGGAATGAGTCCGGGAAGAACTCGTTATTAACCCTGAATCTAGTGAATTGAAATGTGGTTTCACAAGGGGACTGTTGGGCCTTGTTGGAGGTTTGCGCTCTCTGAGTGCCATTCTAGTTTAGTCATGAAAATAGTAAAAAGTGGCTGCTGCAGTTTCTTGGATCACAGCTTTAATGTGGGACTGAATGACAACAAGTTCATATCAATAGAATCAAAGATGTTTTAGTTGGGACTGAGTGTAAACCGAGAGGAGAAGAAGAAGACCCACAACAGTGGGTGGTGGTTTACACCCTGGAGTGGTTTCAGGTGACAACATGATAACTCACAGTTTTATCTGGGTGAAAGTTACTTTAAGGACGTCATGTGGTGTGAGATTGTTACATTTGCGTACTCTCCAAGGCCTGACCTGGCAACTTCAGCAGTATTGGAACGTTTCTGATAAAAGGGTTGAAACGCCCACTAGGAGGAAATAGATAACCATTAAAAACAGGCGTCATATTTGTTTTTTGAGTTCTGTTGGAACTTTAATATAAAATGTGGACTTTTATCTTGAGAATCTTGACTGAAAGAGCAGTTAAGTCAGTTCATATTACTCAGTGGTAACTTGTTTGTTTTTCTTCCAGTATTCCTCTTTTTGATGTGTTCCCCTGCCTCACAGTTATCGTTGGTCTTTGCTCAACCTCGGCTTGTTTTGAAGGCTTCGTGAATATGTTGGAACAAATCTCTCTGCAGCAGCGGCTGGATCTTAGCGGTGTTGTTTAGAGTCAGAGCGATGGGTAAATGGGTAAAGCCTCCGCCCTGAACTGAGTGATGTTTGTGCAGAGGCGACAGAATGGTGTTGGAATTCATTGGTTTCCATGAATTAATTTAATCTCCTAGTGAAAACCTTTTTGCTTTCACTCAATAGTGTGCGGGTCAAAGGTCAGCCAGCTGATGCCGAATGGTCGAATCAGAGGGAGGTCAGGCTTTGATATGAATGTGGAGCGGACGAGTGGCAGCTGAAATCATGATGAACAGGTTTGATCAGGACGACGACACCAGTGAAAATCATTTGATGCTGGCAGCTGCTGAAACTTCCTTCTCAGCTGGTGCTGTCATCAGTGCCAGGATTAGGCATCAGTCATGGGGAGCTGGAGTATTCGGCTTCTCGGCTTGTTTGTGATGCATAATTTCCTTTTTGTCAAGACGTTTTCTCCCAGTCACCGCCACCGAGGACACGCTATGCCTGAGTCGTGCAGAGACAGGGACCGTGTGCATGTGCGTGTTAGCATGTGTTGCATTGCCTCTGGCAGTCCTCTCTCTGTGTCCTGGCTCTGCTGAGGCCTGTCCAAACAGAACTGCAGCCAAAAAAGCTCCTCCCAAGCTTCTCAGAACAGGAAGTGGATTGTTTTGTTTCACAGGGTGAGCCTCTGAGGCCGTGGCTCTGCTGTCTCCCACTTGTTTGGCGTTGAGCCCATCATCTAGTTCAGGCCAATATCTGGTCCACTTCTCTGTGAAGCACAAGATGAATACAGTTACTATCAATCCCATTTAATGCAGCAATCTTGCAATCAACTGTTCTGAGTTATACGTAGAGGTGTTCCTAATATATTGTGACCCTTAACTCAGATAAAAGAGATGGACAAAATAAGAACATTATAATCCTTGATGAGCTAGTTAGTCAATCAGTCAGTCTACTTCGTTTATTGAGGGAAATTAGGAATCAATGATCCGCCTCCATCTGGGTCTGTCCTGGGCCTCCATGTCGGACCCATCTCTTTCAGCTTAGCCGTCATAGTTCTTCACCGTGTTGCTTTCCAGGTGATGTCCATCTTAGGGCGGACGTAAGGATGCCGTTCTGGTCAACCAAGCCATTTGCCAGCGTCTGATCTGTGGCACTACACATTGTGTAAATGAAGGCAGAATTTATTGAAAACCTGTTGTATTGTACTATACATCAGTTAAATTGAAATGCTCTTACAAGTGAGTGCAGATGTCAAATCTTTTTGTGATGTAGAATATTATGATTATAGGATTCATAGATGGACAATAGGATTTATCATTATTATTAATATCTACATATTGCGCAGTGATGTGAAAATGTGATGTTGAATAAAATATGGAAATATCAGTGAGATAAGCACATTATAAATGGACGCAGCACGACTATGTAGAAATAAGAGGAGCGAGCACTCCTTCAGTAATTTGCTGCAGTGTCCTACATTCAAACTCAGGTCTGTGGCACCTCTTGCCTCCACTTCTGCGGCTGGAACACACAACATTGGCCTTTGGGTAAAAGGCAGGAAATATAATTAAAACTATGATCACTTTCTCTTTAAGAACAGGAGAGTAACCAAGATGTTAATAAAACTGTCAAACACACCAACACACCCAAAGTTTCCAGTACGGCTACTTGTTGTGCCAAGACTCAATACACATGGAAATACAGCTGGGTAATAATTTCCTCCCTGGCTTCTTTTGCTTTTGACTCTGGTGGCTCTTTCCTGGCTTCCTTTGCTCACTTTGCAAGTACACCCATTTACATATATATTTATATATGTACAGTATATATAAATTCTGCATTTCACTTTTATTGGATACTTTTAACCTTCAAATGTGGCTTTGAGCTCACAATTACTTTATCAATCTATTCATTAATTGATGGAAGATTCTAAAAATGGAGTATTTGTCTGAAGAAATAGGACCACAGATCTTCCAGGTTCCAGCTTCAGAAGTTAAAGTATTTGCTGGTTTCCTGTTTAAGACTGAATATTTTTGAGTTTTGGACTGTTGCTAGCCCAAAACAAAATCCTTGAGGACAAACTTTGGGCTCTTGGAAACCAGAATGGACATTTTTCCTTCAGTTTAGCAAGACTTTGTCACTTTCCAGTCTTTAAGTCTCTAAGCTGATTGGAGGAATAAATCTTCTCATCCAACTATAGAAAAGAAAGGCAACAAGTATATTTCCCAAAAACTATTATTCAATAAAATCCCTAAAATCCCCAAAAGGCCATCTAGAGGAATCTACTCATCTGTTATGGCACCAAATCACTTATAGTTTTACCAATAACTCAAGACATTTTTTATGATGAATTTTGTGTTTTGACGCTACTTACTGAAAAGACAGGTGTTGCTACACATCCTGTCAAAGGTTAAATTGGTTGAAGGGGCAGACTCGGCTCTGTGTTTTGCCCACAGCTCTAAAACAGGATTTCCCTCTGAGAAGTGAGTTCCCTCGTGAGGAGAATTGTTGTCAAGACTGTCTGTTAGAAAGTGGATGAGATGAGAAGCCAGATGACTAAAGGCACAGCTGCTCCCAGGCAGCAGAGCTCCAGCTTCATCCATCAGCAGCACCACTAACTCATCCTCACCTAGCCTCCCCCGGCTGAAGTGGGCATTTTCAGACTTGGGAAAAAAATATCTGGAAAATTTACTGGAGTTTGTCTTTCACATATGAAGAACGCAGCAGGGGACTGTGTTCGTTTGCAACAACACCTTAAATATTTGACACTGGCGTTGGCTCTCATCGCCAAAATATCTTGTTACCATTCCAAGTTGATGTCTTTGTCTGCATCTTTTCAGTCTTGTGTACGTCATGTGTTAGAAACATGATCCACACACCCACTCGCTCACTGGGAATTTTTCTATATATTTTCCTTCTGTATTCTCACACTGGCTCATTTGGACATTTTGTGGATATTTTACTTCGGGGGTGGGGGCATTGCAGGAAATTCCGAAAAATGTGTGGGGCAACTCAGACATTTGCGCTCTCACATACAGGCCCCTCTGAAAATGTCTGGACTTGAGTGCATGCCTGAGAGCTGCTTGGGGCTGTTGAGGAAACTACCTGAAGTGCAGTTTTGAAATTCAAACATTGATGACAGAGATGCATCTAAAGTACATGATGACATGATGTTATTTAGTTGGGAAATGCTTTCATTGGATTTTTTATTTGCACTACAACATGCTCACAACTGTGTAAACCTCATAATTTCGCCTGGAACAACATATGGGCCGGCAGGTTGAGCTCTTGTTCCTGTAATGCAAAAATAATTTAGAGATAATTACAACCTTGTGCTTCTACCAAAGTTTTCCTGAGGAGAAAGAATACACAGCAGAAAAGTATCATTCTGTCTGCCTCAGGACACCAGCAGCTCCTCCACCAGCTGATAGAAGCACATTCCTTTGTGTCCCAGCTTGTCTCAACACCCCTCCTCTCTTCTTCCTCTCCCTCACTCCTCTATCTTCCTCCTCCTCTGCCCTTCTTGCAGATCTGTAGTCTCTGGGTCTGTGACTTTGATTGTCTGTGACTATGTGCAGATCAAAGCAATCTCCCACAGGTTTAACATGATGCAGGACTGTCACACAGAGATGTCAGAGTGTTCTGTTTTGGGCCCCACGCAGCACGAGCGGAGAAACATTTTAGTGTGCTGTGATTTGTCTCCAAAGTCTCCAAATAATTTAAATATCTGTAGAGAGGAAACACACACGGTTGACAAAGTGTGACTGTTGATTGGCCTACATTATTTTTTCCGCTTGACAGATAAAATCTCCCTCGACGGCAAAAAAAAAAGAAGTTTCTTTTCCTTCTGTATTTCTTATCTGATAATTTTTGACACTTTGAATGTGAATTGTTTGAATTTGTGAGAACTTCTAAGGCGCTCTTCTTGTTTCCCGACAGAGATGGCAGCCATTCGGAAGAAGCTGGTGATCGTCGGGGACGGAGCTTGTGGAAAGACATGTCTCCTGATTGTTTTCAGTAAAGATCAGTTTCCTGAAGTCTACGTCCCCACAGTGTTTGAGAACTACATCGCTGATATCGAGGTCGATGGAAAGCAGGTTTGTAAATCTGACACTAAAGAAAGTCTAGAAAGACTAGAAGTCCATTTCTAAGTCCCTTTGTTTGTGTTATAATACAACATGGTACCCTGCACAAAGTATTTATCAAAACTGCGTAAGGGCCGTATGTAAAAGAAGTAAACAAAAATCTTTGATACGTGATATAGCTGCCAATTATAAAACATTTATAATGATTCCTGAGAAGTTATCAAACTTTTAGGACAAAGAAATTTAATTGAGACTTGATGTTTTACAGTTTAAGCATTAACTTTATATAAAACACAAACACAACCAAATATATAGAACTTGAATTAAGATAATGACCAATGACATTTACAAAATATAAAATGCAAATGTGAATCCTCATACTACGATTAATACTTTATTATTATTATATTATTTGAATGGCCACACGCAGAAAACTTCAACGCTAAGGGATCACAAGCTGCAGACACAATGTGGCACACTCCAACTTCAGGTGCAAACAAGAAGTTAACTTATAAAACAACGAAGTCTAAAAACTTTCATTTTGCTGCGATGCATGATTTCAATATAGTGCATATATTTCACACTCTCAGGTAATAAATATAGTTTGTTATATACTAAATGGGGAGTGATTTCAGACCTGGCCTTAAAGACCCACTCCTGAGGGTGTGTGGCATCTTGAATTTGAGTCACAGTGATTTTTCAGCGAAGGTCGAGTCTGAGTCGCAGGCGGCCTCTTACGTCGGGGGTTTTGTTCTCCTGAGCCGACCACCGCTGCAGGATCACCACTTGGCAAAAACAGGAAATGACCCGACTTCCCAGCTTCCTGTTCAGACAGAGAACAGGGATGTCTCCTGGCAATTGCCCTCCTTCCCTCAAAACCCTCCTCCTCCTGTCTGATAAATGTTTCTCATTTCCTGTCCTGGTCACAGTTAGACAAGGGGAGGCAGGGAGGGGTTAACTGTGGTGTTCTGGACAGGAAATATAAACTTAGAGTTTCAAGATGGACATCTGTCGAGAAGGGGATCATTTTGAAAAAGATATAACCGTCGGCTTCTTTAGTCGCCCCCCTCCCCATGTCCCTAGAGGACGGCTGTCATAGGAATTAGACCATTATTCAACCCGCTGGAAAAGATTTGTGATCCCAGCCCCTAAATTTAAGTTTTTACCCCCCTAAGGGTATAAACGTTCTCTCGCTCTCAGTGGATTGGGCATTTTCTAAAAATAGCTTGTTATTTCCCCTTCTTTCTTTTTTTCCCACAAATTCTGCTACGTGTACAACAAGTCCATTGGGAACCTAACTGCTCCGGTTGCTCATCTCGTCTCACCAGTGTGCCACCTCCCACCCTACTGCCTCTGCAAACGTCTATTTTGGGCCCGTTGACTGATGCATGTGCTCTCTGTGGGCAAAGCAGAATCCATTGTCATGCAGCCGCTCCGGCGCTTCGAAACTTTGCAGAAGTTTCCTCCTCCTGAAAACAGTGAGTCAGCTCAGGAGCAGGAGAGTGGAGAGAAGACAGGCAACTAATGTCTGCTCAGGGACAGAAGGTATCCGGTTTGATGCTCACTAATCTCCCACTTTCCCTAATTGAATTAATCAGCGGTGTAATGGGATGAGGCCCGTTCCCCAAGTTCATTTCCACAGCACTGACAACATAACAGATGTGTGAAGCTCCGATAAGGTCAGAGTTACCGGTGACAAGAAGTAAATATCTGCACACTGACGTTCTCATACACAACAGCAGCCTCAGTGAAATGCACAAATCTAAAGCTATGATCAAAATCCCTGGTATGTTTGTGTGGCCGGTGCAGAAAAATGTCCCATGGTTCACTTTGGCCTTTTAGGAAATTTGCTGCGCTGAGACTCGTATGTCGTGTTCCAAATAGTTCCGGCTCTTGGTGGATGAGAAAGAAAGAACTTAATCACTAATGATGTTTTGACTGGTTAAATGTTTGTGCATTCATCCGCAACGGTGAGCAACATTACATCAAGTCTGGGTTGACAGCTCATTTTTAATTTTAGCCCTTAAGACAGGATCCTATTACGAAGCTGTCTAAAAAATGACACAGATGAACGAAACATGGAGATAAAAAGCAGTAAAAGGAAAATTAAAAAAAAAAAAGGTTTGTCCATATCAACTGAGAGTTAATTATAATGAATTAACTATATCCAGAGTATAATTAACTCTACTAGTGTATGTCTATTTTAACACCAAGAATTCAACTCTTCTCAATTTGCTGTGTACACAGATGTATGTTTTTGCTGCATTTCACTTCTTGTCTCTTTTGTTTTGTCCCAGGTGGAGTTGGCGCTGTGGGACACTGCAGGCCAAGAGGACTACGACAGGTTGAGGCCTCTCTCATACCCCGACACAGATGTCATCCTCATGTGCTTCTCCATCGACAGCCCTGACAGTTTGGGTAATCAACTGCTTACATACAGAACCCTGTTTGGATATATTTTATTTGTATAACCTTTACTTAAACCAGGGAATCATCCCAAACTTAACAGCCCTCAAAATGACTGCCAGAGAAATGTCCTTATGCAGAACCATATTTATTGAACTATTCCTGTGGTGCTGTAAATGATGCTGCCATGATCACCTCAGGAGTTACATGGAGACTAAGAAATCAGAAAGCTGATGATTATTTGCATGGTTTTATTTTAAATTTAACTTATTAGCTTCTTGGTTTTAAATTGTAAATCACTGTTGTATTCTACACAGAAACAAGGCGATTCATCTCAGCTAAGCAAGCTGTTTGTTAAAAGCCTTAATGGCCTTGATGGGGGGTGGGATTAGTGCAGCTAAAACATCTTTGCCTGGAGCAGTGTGCAGAGCAATCCATCATGAGAAGTGTTCTGCTCGGTGAAAAGGTGCCCTTTTTATAGTTTCTCTCCTGAGCATCTCAGCTCACTTCTCTCTCTCTCTCTGGGGACAGAAAATATCCCTGAGAAGTGGACGCCTGAGGTGAAGCACTTCTGTCCCAACGTCCCCATTATCCTGGTGGGGAACAAGAAGGACTTGAGGAACGATGAGCACACGAGGAGAGAGCTGGCAAAGATGAAGCAGGTACAGACGTCTCCCTGAAGGTCAATGAACTGTAGATGGAGGTAATCGGGAACACCTGTTCAAAATGTGCTGCGTAGACACATGTCACCACTACTCAGTTTGTGAGTCTTATTAATGCTCATATTCACGACCTTTAAATATTAGTCTGCGAGGTGTTCAGCAGAGGTGAAGGGCTATTTGTTAAAGCAGCGGTCCACACCCACACGGTTAAATCATTTCAAAGGGTAACCACTGTTTCTACAGTGGCAGGTTTATATTGGTCAACTATTACTGACCACATGAGCAAAGGGATAGTTCACCCATTAATGTCCTTTACGAATACAGCTTCCATGGAGATTGTGAATAGTGACAGTGTCATGTTTCAAAAATTGCTAATTTGTTGCTCTTAAATTGCAGATAAAATTTAAAAGTGAGACATGTCTGGCTTTTTGTGATTCGTGAATTTGTTTTGATAAGTAAAATATTGTAGATAATTAATAGAAAGGGGAAAATAATATTCTGTTATATTCTCATATTTTGCCCTGGAAATAATAGATATGTAATTTTGGAAGGTTTATTTAAACTGCTCAATGTTTCATTATGAAATATGTCTCCCAGAATAGTAGAATTGTCCCATTAATATTACAGCATAATCTGTCCAGAATGTGATGACGTATTCAGAAAGTTTTTTACTCTTTATGTTGTTGCTTTATGATGAAATATTTAGATTTATTCCCTCATGAAGCTCAAGCAAAAACAGAAATATTAGAAACATTTGGAAATATTTTAAAGACAAATACTTCATACTGTGAAACAGCTCATTTGTTGTGAATTAGTAAAGCCAGTTTTATTTATTTAGTTCAAAATTATAAATCTACCTAACATACATTTTTACACTTTCAACGTGGAAAGAAAAATAACACAAACATCCTTTGATAGGGACAAAATAGGAAAACTTCAGGAAAGATTAAGTGGAGGAGGACTATCTCTTCCAGGACATGGAGAACACAAAAATAACAAATATTAAAATTACAATGTAGAAAACTAAAAGTCAATACTAGCAAAGTAAAGTCTACAACAATTTTTTCAAATTGGTGAAATGCTATGTATCAGTTTTACATATCTCAGCTGTTTTGATGTCTGTCGTCTCTCTGACTCTATAAAGGCTGATTCTGGCCTTTAGGTCAAACCACGATGACGATAACATGTCGGTTGTCTGTGTCACAGAACGACACGTCATGCCACTGAGGCACATTCTCTGTCTGTCTCCAGCTCTTTCAGACGACACTGTCAGCTTTTTCTTTCTGAAATCAGGAGACAAAGAGCAGCATGAAGTCATCAGTTCAAGTGTTTCAGATTTACATGCTCACACGGACACTGTTCGCTCTGCATGTCCAAGCTGTGATGTTGCTGGTCGGGTTCATGAATTCACCTACTTGAGACTCTGATTTCAAGTTTTCATCTGTTTGATGAGGTTTTCATTTCACATCGTTTAAATCACCTTAAAAACACTGGTACAATTTTAGCATATTTGGTTTTATAAGGGACTAAACAAAAAACACGGGCGACTGAACATGTGAATATTATTTTTAATATTGATCTTAATATAATATTGATTATAATTATTTTTTCTGTAAATAGTTTAATTTAAAATAATACATTTTAAAAAGAAATATCAGCTGAAATATGACAAAGAAAAAAGCCGCAATCCACAGAACCTTTAACATTTCTATGCCTTGAAAACAATAACTGATACTAGATCATGTTAAAGTTAATGTTTTATCAATTAATGATTTAATGCATTGTGCAATATTTCTTTCTGAAATCTAGTAGCTAATGAGAGAATCAGTTCATAAAACAGAGGGGAATAAAACTAGGTTACACAAAAAAAATGTTTTAAGAAGAGATTTACTTTATAAGTATAAAACAGTGTAAAATGGTAATACTCAGGTTGAATGCAAGAATGTCAATATTGTGCTTATGAACAAAACTTAAACTTACAAATCTAAAACTCTTTTCTATTTTTTGAAGAAATTGAGACAAAATCTTCCAAAAAGAAAAAAAACACACAATCTTTAAACTTTAATTCCTCTCACATCTAACAATTTCCCACAGTCCCTAACAGTGTGTGTGATCTGACCCTGCAGGAGCCGGTGAAGACGGAGGAAGGCAGAGAGATGGCCGGCAGGATCAGTGCTTTTGGTTACCTGGAGTGCTCCGCCAAGACCAAGGACGGTGTGCGGGAAGTGTTCGAGATGGCCACTAGGGCGGCGCTGCAAGTCCGCAAGCGCAAGAAGAGGAGTGGCTGCGCGCTGCTGTGAGCAGTTCAGACGTATTGAGAAACAACCAACCAATAGAAGAAGAGCAAAACATATGAAAAGAACTGACCTTTTACCAAATGGCATCTTTGTACTGTATTTCGCAATTAACGATAAGATGCAGGCAGATGAATCGATTGAAAACACCCCTTATACAGGAAACAGACTTTGTCTATATTACAACCATCGTTAGAAAATTGATGTTTAAAGTTCTTTGCTGAATTTTTTTTTCTCAGAAATCTCTTAATACACATAGAATGTTTTCCTACTTGTTTCTTTTCTTTGCATTTGTAATGTAACGCGACAGTGATAGATGCACATATTTGTATGCAATATTGTTCTTCATGAACCTTTTCAGCTTGTGAAACACGTCTTCATGAATAACGTCTTGTCCTGTTCGTAGCAGCTCAGTTTCTCATGGTAGCAGCCAGGATAGAGAATGAACGTTGATATCTTTTGCCCACAAGAGCTAGTGCCTTTTTTTTTTAAGTTCGTACACCACCATCGACTTCTCGTGTTTGTCCGCTAGCTAACATTTCAGCTAAAGGCCCCTCCATTGTACAGTAGCTCATTTTCAAAGCCACAACTAAGTCTTCAGCTCCGTTGACGAATCGTCAAGCACAATAACATGGTTGCTTGAATCCGTTTTGTTTTGTCTCCTCAAGGTGTTTCCAGTCAGCTCACTTCAAAGATAAGACAGCAGCTGTCTCAGTAACGTGATAATGGTTCACAAAAGATTGTTCACGTGCGTTCTGAGATGGAGGGATGAGAACAGGCTAATGGAGACACGAGCCAATATGACTCAACTATGCACAACAGCTGTTTCGGAGCAACAGGGGAGATGACACAGCTGAAACAGGAATCACATGAAGGCCACGGTCTAATGAAACCTCCCTTCTTTGTTCATTGAGAGTGACTGCACTACAATGTACACAAGCCTGTCACACCCGCTGTGTGTGTGTGTTTATGTTGAACGGGTTAGCCCAGTCATGGAAGTGTTATGCGTGTGGATGTTCCCAGTCAGGCGACATTCTTTCCATGTCTCGGAGGAGTTTGGTTTCGTTTTGAGAGGTTTCTTTTTTCCCCTCATGGTGCCTTCTCTGCTCTGGTGTGCCTTTTGGTTGTCCTCTCCCAGACCAGGTAGACCAGCTGCAAGGTCAAGAGTGACCTCTGTGACCTGTTTCACGAAGCTCTAAGACCTTTGAACGACTCGGGTAAAAGCAGAGGGTGTCGTCAGCTTGCTGAAATCTAAGCTCTTATGGCATAAATATTAAGATTTTACCTATAAATGCAGTCTTATCTATAAGATCGTTTCACCAACATCCCCAGAAACCTTCTGTCTGCATCCGCTGACATTTTTGATGCTTCGGAGATGGTTATTGTTGCCAACAAGTTTGTTTTCACAAATCAACTGTGTATTACTCAACTATTATTTGACGTGAAGGCTCTGTACTCCGCCTCTGTTGCTCATTCATTCTTTACGTGTCCCTTGGTTGCATGTCGCTGTCGTGAGAAAGTGGAGAAATGTGTGTGTGGGGCCAAAACAATCTTTGATGTTGCATGAAACGTCCTTATCACGCCAGGACGGGCACCAAACACACCAGCTGGCAAAGTCTGTATCTGTTATGATGTAAAATACAACTTCATACCCTCTACTGGCCACAAGCACATAAGGTATAACTGATTTTTCCATGGCCCAGCCGAGGTGTATTGTTATTTTTTATTTTTTAGATGAAGAAGAGAGGGGGCATTGGTTACAGTCGCACACAAGCACCATATGATGTTGTTACCTCAAACCTTTAAAGGGTGGGGGCTTTATTTTAACTCATTGCGACAACAAACAGCACACTGAGACAAGATTCAACAGATTCAGACGATTTCGATTAAAGAGTTTTATCAATGAAGCTTCGAGTTATGTGTGTTCTAGTTGTGGCATGATGTTCTCGGATGTCAACAAGATTAATACGTGATGAGAGCATTCCCTTAGAGGAGCAGAAGGTTGAACATGGTGTCGAACATATCACAAAGAGCATGTACTATACTGCTGTGTGTATCTGTGTGCAGATTATGTTACGCCACTATTTCAAAAGTTGGTCTTACAATGTTGTTGCATGCATGAGAAAAAGATGGGTCTTTAAAGTACACACACACACACACTCATACTAAAGCAGCATCGTCTTTGGGAACAGCTTCTGCTCAGTGTTGTAACTTTTCTTTCTTTCTCTGGAAGTATTTGAAACGATAAAGGATCCAGATTTTTAGCTCAGTGTGAAAATGCTTTGTAAACAGGAAAGTGTTGTAGTGATTGTTTGATCTGAAGTGAACATGAACATTGTTAATAAACTATTTTTGAGACAAGAGCGACTCGCCATGCTTGGTCAGTTCTTTGTAGAAGACAGAGACGTCACATTTGGATTTGTGTAACAATTGTTTGTTAAAGGTAATCGAACTCACTTTTATTTGAATACCCAGGGTCTTTATATAAGTCACGTGAGACAAAGACAGAAAAGTCAAACACCAGATTCATTGATTCACTTTGGCATTAAAATGTAAAACAGAATGGTGTCATCAAAATATGCAAAACTGTTGATAGAAAGGTCAGTGAAGTATATGTATATATATTCCTAAATAATTGATGCAAGTGTGGTTAATTCTGTAATACTGTTTATTGGCATTAATGTATATGAATGTGTATTAGGAGTGTGGGATGTCACTGCAGATGGTTTTGTGGATTCATTTTAATGCTTTATCCACTGTGGGTCCTGCTGGAGGGGGCTCTCCTCTGTGAAAGGACCTGACACACAGGCAGAAAGGGCACATGTTTCATTTCTCCGCTTTGTGCAAGTTGTATAAGCCTTTTTTCAAAAGATTACAGATAAACTAAAGTTTAGAATCCACACAGATCTTCAGACTTGCAAGTGTAAACACAACATCATCCTCGCTCTCTACATCCTTCAAGTCAAATCCAGTGTAACCCTTCTCCTTCACACAGTAGCTGATGAACCTGCAAATAAAAACAATCCAAATTTAGTAATAATGATGGATATGTCCTTAAGGTGCTCATAAAAAGGAAACCTGAAACTCGGAAAGCTCAAAAACCTTAAGAAAATTGTGTGTTATAATAAAACGCTGTAGAACAGCAACTTAAAAAGACCCTAAAGGGGAAATAGTTCTGTCTGGTTTCTGTCTGGTTCTGATTTCAGCTGTGGCCAGCTCTGACTTACTTCTCCCAGGTGGGGTCCTTGTTGAGGATCACAGGGTTTCCCACAACAATCAGCAGAGAACTGGCTCTCGTCACAGCCACATTGAACCTCTGCAAAATAAATACAATCATTAAAGGATTTATTTCTAATCTACGATGGAGTACTGGGGCCATTTTGAAGAAAGAAAAATTCTGAGATTTCAA